TTACCTGGCAGCAGCTTCACTCGTTCGTGGTTCGTCTTTCCCCTCCCCCCCCCAGAGGACCCACAGCCCGTGTCTCTGGTGGGGGAGCTGCTCATGCTCAAGTACTCCCAACAAATCATACAGGTGGGCGGTGAGTGGGTGAAGAATAAGTGTGAGAGGGGGTGGGTGGGAGGATGGGCAGAGGGAATCTACAGCTGAGGTGGCTTAGGTTTCGGGCGGTGGGGCCCCAGCGGGGTGTCGCCCTGGTAGCGTGTGTGTGTTGGTGGACCCCCACCCAAAATCTGAGGTTGTCTAGCCCCGAAACCTGTGACGTAGTCCGCCGACCCTGACACCCCACTCCTCCTTCCCCGCGCACTGACTTCCCATATAATCTCCCCCGCACACACACACACACACACGCGCGCGACTGCCCTCAGGAAAAGTGTCGTGAGATGCGGATGCCGGTCAAGGTGATGGTGAGTGAGATGGGGGATTGGGGATATGTGTTTTGGGGGCGGGGGGAGGGGAAACGGGTAATGTGACAGTTTAGGTGGTGGTGGTGGTGGTGGTGGTGGTGGTTTGAGGAGGCCCGGTTTGTGGTCTGAAGAGGGATGGGGAAGAGGAACAGGCAGGCAAACTGCAGCTGAGGATTAGCGCCCTTTCTGATGCTATTCACCACCTGCCGCCTACTAGCTGAGGGTTGTGGGTTGCGGGTTGAGCATTGCGGGGCGGTCAAGGGGCTACGGGGGCTCAGTGGGGAGCCCCAAACATGCAAAAACACAGCACGACACGTACCGCCAACTCTGAGGCCAATCCACCGCCTCTGATGTCGCAGCCTCCACCGCCGCCGCCACTGTCGTCGGTTCTTCTCCTCGTCGCGCCTGGCCCTGCCACTCCACTCGGCCCTCTCCCCCCCCCAAGCGCTTCCGTGTCTAATCCCGTACAACGACAAATGAAGCATCCCCCCGATTCACACGCGAGTGTCTCCCACCATTTCCCCGCAACAACTTGGATCCCTGTGCTGCTTAAACACGATTTACCCCTCTCTTTCCCCCTTCTTCCCCTTTTGTCACCCAACCCCTCTCTTTCCCCCCCTCTTACCCCGCTCCTGGACTACCCGTCTATTTCTGGTTCCCGCAGTGGTGCGTCTTACCCCCCTCTTCCTCCCCTTGCCTCCCCCCTCCCTCTCCCCCCGGGGCTCCTGCTTCGGCCACCTCGCGCATGGATGCGTGCAGTCCACGGCCATTCAGTACCACAAGCGCTTCTTCCTGAGGCACACATCGATGGAGTTCGATCCAGGGAGGGTCATGATCACCGCAATATTCATGGCGACAAAGGTGTGTGTGTGTGTTCGTGTGTGTGTACTGGTTGGGTGGGGGATGGGATGGGGGGGAAGAGGGAGAGGTGGGGGACATGGGCGGACAGAGGGGGCGTGTAGGGGTTTGGGAAAAACCCTTAGCGGACACGTGTGGGGATGTTTAAGGTGGGCCCCACGGTGGGGGGGGAGGCGCTGGACGAGCTGCAGCCCAGGAAAGGAAAAGGGCGACGGAGGTTATGGAAGGTAGGGGTGGTCTGAGCCGTGAGCAGGTGGCCGTGGCGGTGGTAGCGGTCGCGTATACCTTTGTCACACTTTTGGAGCGAAAGTGAAAAGGTCGGCGGGTGCGGGTAATTTTGCTGCTGTCGTACGGAATTCGTCTCATTGCCGTACATCATCCCAATCCTTCAAGAGATGTGCTACCACAACAACAGTGGTAGCAATACACCCACACGCACCACGCACGCTCTCTCAAGGCCCCTAACCCCCCCCGCACTCATATGTCTGCTTTTCCCGGGCTGCTTCCGTACATATACATCCCTTATCCTCTTTCCCCCTCACACACATATTTCTCCCCCCCCCCCTCCCCTCTCCCCAGGTAGAGGAGCGCTACACGCGGGCTGCGGACATCGCAGCGGCGTTCGATGTGAGCGAGGACCTGGTGGTGAAGCAGGAGGTGCGGGGGGAGGGAGGGGGGGGAGGGAGGGGGGAGGGAAGGGGGGAGGGAAGGGGGGAGGGAAGGGGGGAGGGAAGGGGGGAGGGAAGGGGGGAGGGGGATGGAGGAGGAGAGACTTGCTGGTTAGGGTAGGGGTGGATGCCGGGGTGGGCGGGTAGGAGGGAATCATTGTCTGCCGGGTAGGGGGGCGTGTGGGACATCTGCGGGCAGCCCTATCCCCCCAGGCATTCAGCCCCTCGTGGGCCCCCCACCCCACCGCGCTTTCCCCCCCTTTCACATACATACACACATCCCAAACCCGCCGTGTGTGTGCAGGTGGCCCTAATGGAGGGCCTCAACTTCGATCTTGTCGTACATTCGCCGTACAGAGCACTTCACGGGATGATTCTGGTGGGTGGGGGAGGGAACGAGGGGGCGATTCCGTAGGACTCATAGCCAGAGTACCATGTATGATACGGATAAGGCCCACCCGGCCCCGGTTGGGGCTGTAGCCCGAGGGGTGCCAAAGGCCAACACCATGTAGGTACAGCGCCTGCCCTCTTGTACGCCTGTCCGTCTGTCTGTCTATTTATCTGCCCACCCGGAGTGCGATTTCGCCACCACTGCTTTCCAGTAACCCGCCTCCGAACACACACATATACACACTTACATACATACATACAATGGTGAAGCTATACCACCCTGTAACAACATGCATACGTACGTACTTACCCAGAGGTACGCGATACACATGCATACACACATACATACATACACACACACCCTTGACGCACCCGCGAACTGACGGAAAGACACAGCACATCTCCCACTTCCTGACGCGCGCAGGAGCTTAAGGACGCTCGTACGGAAGCTGCCGCTGGCCTCCCCCCTCCCTCTGTCGCATCCTCCGCCCGCGGGGCCGCTCTTCCCCCCTTGGACGACGTGCTCGTGTCCGTACCGCCTCAGGTGGTGGATGAGGCGTGTAGGGCCGCGGGGGGGGCCCTGGATGCCCTCATGCTCAGCGATGCGCCGCTGTTGTACAGCCCTGCGCAAGTGGCGGCGGCGGCGTTGCGGAGTGGGTTCAAGGCGAAGGGTGTGCGGGTGGGTTTTAGGTTCGTTTTCGAAGGGGGGAACGCTGGGGAGTGTGGGTTTGGGTTTGGGTTTGGGAGGAGGGGTAAAGGGCGGGTGAGTGGGTGGTTGGGTGAGAGGTGAGCGGGGATTTTGGGGGCGGAGGGGGCGTGAGAGAGAGAGGTGGGGGGTGGTTTTGTAACCTTTTCCATGCACATGCACGTGTTGCCACCATGCAGTTGATGTTTCCCGTTGGATCTCACATAGATCTGACGGGATGTGACGCATCTCTTTTGTTTTCTCGCCAGGTGGTGTGTTTGTTTGACCTGTCGTGGACGTGTGCGTGTTGAATGTGGTGCGTGTATGTATGTATGTGTTATGTGTGTATGTGTCCCCGCTCTGCCCCGCAGATACCCAACTTCATCGCCCGGTTGGCAATGAAGGCGGCGTTGCGGGCGGCGGAGGGGGAGGAGGGGGTGGGGGTGGACGGCGGGGCGGGAGCTGAGGCGGCGGGTGCGCAGGTGGGCGGGCGGGCGGGTGGCACTACTGGGGTGGATTGAGTGATGTGGGTCAGGTGTGGTTCGGTTTGGGTCGGTTTGGGGTTTCGGTTAGGTGGTTGTCGGTTAGGGGGTTGGGTACATGTGTTAGAATTGGATGCATTGGGCTTGGACTTGGGCACCCTGCGGTTGGTTAGATTGATTTTCCTTTTGGGGGGATAGGTTAGTGGGAGGTTAAAATGGTGGGTTAGGGCTGCTGGGTCGCGTAGTGGGTGGGTGGGTGGTGGGACACACACGGAGTTTTAACCCCGCGCTGGTTTCGGAACCAAGGTTCGGTTCTTATATCCTGGAGCCCCAGCATCACAAGGAATGAATAACAAGGAATAACAAGACGGGTTGGACTGAAAACAAACAAGCCATGAAACATACACACCTGCATATGTACGTATGTGTGTGTATGTGTGTATGTGTGTGTGTGTGTGTGTGTGTGTGTGCGTTGGTAATCCCCCCAACCCACCCCGGGCAGGTCCCCAGCTCCTTCCCCCTAACTTTCCGTTACCGCTGGCCGTCCGTCCCTCCCCCTCACTCCGCACCGCAAACCTTCCTGGCGCTCCCACTCGCACACGGAGGTGGGGAAACCCAACCCCCCACCCCGACCGACACTATTTGGCCCCACGACCACTGCACTGCCTTCAGAACGACCCCGTCACGGCGTTGACTTCCGTACTGGACGAGCTGGACCGGCTGGGCAGCGAGGGTGCTCGGAGGGTGGAGGTGAGCTCGGCCCGTGCGCGTGTGTGTGTGAATGTATGATGTGTGAAACAGGGGGGTGTATCTTCGCCCGTGGCAGCTACCCTGCGAAACCCTGCCTTCCCCGGTATTTCGGGGCACCCTCATCCAGTGACCCTAGTCAACTTCTCAGTGGATCGCTCAGGTTCCGCACCCACCACCAGCATCCAACGGAATCTGCCGGGTCGACAGCGGCCCAACTCCATTCCTGGTCAGCTCGCAAGTCAACTTTATCCCAGGTCACCACCGTCCATCGACTAGGGACACTTTACCTTCCACCATAGGAAGGATTTTGGGATCCTGACAGGTCTCGATCCCGGGACCTCCAGGGGCATTGGTGCGTGCTTTACCAGTAGTGCCTGACCTGTGTATGCTGTGTATACGCCTGGCCTATGTATGTATGTATTTGTGGCGACCTTTCACGGTGCCTTCACGTGCTTCTTCTTGCTCTTCCTCTTCTTCTCCTCTTCCTCCTCCTTCTGAGGTGATGTTGTTAATTGTGGCGATGTTGTTGTTGTTGTCGTACTTCAGGTGGATGAGGTGAAAGAAGCCAATGCAGTGGCTAGGCAGTGGAGGAGCTTGCTCAAGGACACGACGGGGGGGGCCGCGGCGGGAGCGGGCAAGGTACGGTGTGGGTGCTATGGCGCGTGCATGTTGCGGTACATGGCGTCAGGTGTGGCGGTTGCGGGAGGAAGAGTGGAAGGGTGTGAGGTAGCGGGGTGCGTGTCTGTCTGCCTCTTGGGTTATCAAGGCGTGAAAGGAGGGCGGCTGGGCGGAGCGGGGCTGTACGGCCCTCGGGTGGGGGGAACACCGCCATCTAGAATCTGGAGATTTGAGTAAAAGGGGCCCAGGGGCTCAGACCGCGGCCCTAATTATCTTACACATTTGTGTAGTGTAGGGGTGCAAAAAACAAATAGTAATGCTTTGGTTCCCCTGCGCAGGGTGGTGGTGGTGGTGGGGCAGTCGCGGATGAAGCCGCTCGGGTCGCCAAGCGGGAGGCCAAGAAGGCAGCTCGCGCCGCTGCCAAGGCGAAGGAGGCGGAACTGCTAGGCATGCCACAGCGGCAGTAGCACCACGCGGCAGCAGCACGAGGCACCGCCACCACACGTGATCGCCTGGTGTACACCAGCAGCATCAGCCGCAAGCATGCTACTGCAGCTTTTGGCGGCTGCGACCTGGCGGTGGCGGAGGCAGCCATAGCAACGGCGGTAGGCAGTTGCAGCTGCTGCTGCTGCTGCTGCTGCTGCTACAGCGGCCGTAGCAAAACTGTTGGCAGTTTTAGCCCTTAGCGGTTAGCCGGGGCAGTAACCCAGCGACCGATGGTGTGTGTGGGTTGTGGTGGCGCCGCTTACCTATTTCGGATGAAGATGATGGTACGGCTGAAACTTCGACGGTTTGCGAAATAGTAGTGGGGTGGACGGGACCTTGAATTGCTTCTTGCTTCTGCGCTGACGAAGCTTCCGTGGAAATGGGTCTTGTGGTGGGAAGGTCCTTCGTCCTCCGGAGCACGCACACTGTGTATATACGGGTGTACGGAAAGACCTCGGAAAGGCGGGTCGAGCACATCCCGCAAGTTTCCTATCCCCAGGTGTCCCTGAGCAGTGTCGGGGGGTGAGGGGGGGTGAGGGGGGGAATGGCCAGGCCTGGACTGACCACATGTCGCCGCGCATTCCCCTCTCTCCCCTCTGGTATGAACCAGCCAGCGGCCAGCGATGGGGCATCTGCATGCAGGGCGGGGAGCTGCCGGGGTGGGGGGAGAGGGGAAGGAGGGGGCACCCCGCGGTATGCATGCAGGGCGGGTGGCCAGACAGCCCGTTGACGACTTCTTTTAGGAGCGCGAATGTATTTACCTAAAAACGGGTATGTTGTATACGTGTCCGGGAGGAATGGTGGTTGACCTTCCACCCCCGCTTAGGGAGCCTCTGCCCGGTTGGCTCACCGGTGACCTGCTGCCATATACATGCTGCTTCAAAGTAGCGGACCAGCTGGTTCGCTGAATGGAAGGTTAAAAGGTGGTTGGATTAGTTATACCGGCCGCCCAGCTTGACTGAGAAAATATGTACGAAGATCTGATTAAGGAGTTTACACACACACACACTCAAGGGGGTGTGCTCGACGTGTGCGTAGTTCTTAATTTCGTTGTACACCTCAACAGACCGCCTAAACCTTTCTGCGTTTGTTTCTTACATGTACATTCGAGTCACGGCACGTACGGCATTATGCGGCCTATGACGTCATGCCACGTCTCAGATGATGCCGTATCATCCTCCAGGAGTTGGTAACGTGGTACGGAACCACGTCACGTAGGACTAAGGGGAGGGTACGGAAATTGAAGCATGACGACAACGTGGGGGTTGGGAAGAGTGTATGAAGGCTCCTGTCACGACCCTAGCACACCCTAACAGCCTCACCAGTCCAGGTGCCCCCATCCGGTGATGTCGCGGGGTGGGTGGCGGGCGGGTGGCCCGACTGCACGGGGACCCGCAGGCCGGGAACCCTGCAGCTAGTAGCTACAGCTGCATGGCAAGAAGAAAGAGATGTTGGAAAATCCTTAAATCCTAAAACGGGGTTTGGGCCTGCCCGCGCTGCTGCTGCTGCTGCGGCGGCGGCGGCGGCTCAGGACTACGGCGGCATCGTTTTGAGCTGAGGTATTGATGTACAGCAGTATGGGCCTGGCAGGCATGTTTAGACATACACCTATTCATGGAGGCGTGCAGATAGGTATAGACCCACGGGGCGGCGAAGTGACTTGTGGGGGTGGGATGGGATGGGATAGATGGGTGTGGCGAATGAAAGCGTCTCGTAAAAGGGCCGCCCACCCGGCCGCGTCTCATCTCCGTGAGACATCCGGTCGTGTTCCCAAGGGCCATGACATGCAGGAAGTGAATCACATCGTCCGTTCTGGGGCTCTGCGCGCACCTGCACCGGTGTGCTGCGCTCGTACCTGCAGTCGGACCTGGGGCTCAGCCTGGGTTTTCGATCCACCCCCACATCCCCCACATGATGGCGAAAAAGGAGCCGTAAGCTTGAGGAAGACCCATGGAAAGGCCATGAGGAGTTAGCAGTGTGTTACAAATGGGCATGAAAGCGAAGTCACACAAAGCAGAAGTCGCTGTCGCTGAAAAACGAAAAGGTCCATTACGGGAGGTGTCAGGGGGCAATCGCGCGTATCTATCCCAACCTTAAGTACTTGCCGCCTTGCCGCGTCGTCCACACGAGGCGTGTGTGCACGCGTATGTATGTGTGTGTGTGTGTGCCGCTTGTGTTACGTCCCGGAGGGGATAATCCCGCCAGGCCCACGCCCTCTACACCTGCCGTATATACGTCACTTCGGTAATCTGGGGGGCCCCCCTCAGGGCTCGTGCGGGCCTCCCCCCCCCTGATCCTCAAGCCAAGGGGTTACACACACAGGAAAGTGAGGAACGTACGACAGCTGTACAGTCACAGACAATGGCCAGACACCGCTGGAAAGCGAGGCAGCCGTACCGAGCTTCCTGGCCGCCATGCAGACGCTTGCAGAGGCCGCGGGGCAGAAATTGGAAACAAGGACAAGGTGGTGGAGCTACTGTTCGTCGGGACGGAGGCGCCAGCGCCCCCTTTCCCCCCATTGCATGTCCCCTTGTCCTTTATCGCACCCGCCTCACCTCTTTGTTACCCTTTTGTTTTTGCATGTGCCTTTTGCCACTACTTCGGCGGCCTGGCCAGGTGAGTCCAAAAGGTGGTTCGAGCTTCTTTGGTATTTCGCGTTGGCGTCGGTAGGCTAGCCGGAATAGTTTAGTTTGGGTCGGTCGGGTCAGTCGCGCGTTCTAGTTTTTTTGGGGGGTTGGGAGGAGCACTTGCATACCGGCAGCCTTTCAGTATCAGCAATGCAGCTCTCTCTCCTGGCCAGCAACTTTACGCCACTTTTACGTCAGCACTATTTTTCTCGCCGCCTTCACTACTTTTTCTACACCTACTTGTTTACGGTTTGGCTATACTATTCAGCCTTTTTTTCTGGCGGCTTAGGTAGGTAGGACTTCCAACATCTACGTCAATTCTTCATCCCGAGGTTACAGTCGTCATCCCGAGGTTACAGTCGTCACAGTCGCCACGGACGCCTTTCGGTCAGTTCTTTCGGTTGCTACTATCTTGCCCTGGCAGCAGCTTCAATCGCGTGTGGTTCGTCTTTCCCCCCATCGCCGCCATCGCCGCCATAGCAGCAGCAACAGCAGCCCGCGTCACTGCCAACACAGCACTGCCCAACGGACAACAGCCGCAACCGCCTACCATGGCCGGCCTGCGCATCGTGCCTGTCAGCAATTCACCGGCCCTGCTCTAGCCAAGCCACTGGCGGTCCTCAAGGCCGCATTGCAGCGCGGATGCACCGCGTCACAGTCATCCCTCTCTCTGCCAGGATCGCTGCATGCCGGAAACGCTGCGACGGCTGTGGGTGGTCATGTGAGAGCGGGAGCACAAGGGAAACTCTCTGGCGCCCGGCAACACGGGGCATCTACACGGCACCTCTACGTGGAGCCGTGTGGCTGTGGCGGATTCGGAGGAGCGGCTGGGCAACAGCAGATGCTGCAGTGCTGTCCCTAGCCGCGTGCACACACCACTTCTGGAGTGGGCGGCCTACGAGCTCGGACCCATATCCCGGGCGAACGTGTGGCTCGCAGAAGCACCGGCAGGGGTGCAGCAGCGCGTGTGGGATGTGGCAGGCCTCGCGGCGCTGTCCGCCAGAGGGAACGTGCACGGGCGGGACTGCGGGCGGCAATCCGCAATTCACACCCCGCACCACTGGGGCCCCAGCAGCCCCGCTGGAGGTCGCGAGAGCCGTCGTGCGGTGCTCGACTTTCTGGCAGCGGGTTCAGGGCTTTGCAGAGCTCTGCGTGTCCCGGCGCGGCTGGGACAGGGTGGGCCCCGGCCATTCCATATTACCGGTGGTGGACCGGCGCCTGTGTTGCGAACAGATCATTGGGCTGGGAGGGGAAGGGGAGGGGGAATAGAAGCGGGTGCTTAGGAGGACCCCGGTAGATGGGCTATCCCGCTGGGCGGGGAGGGGATAGGCCCCGGAGGGTTCTTCTTTGTTGGGTCTGGATAGAGGGCTTTTCGAGTGGGAGGGCTCGCCTCGCCACAGGTTGCGCCAAGGGGAGGGACAGTGGGAGGGTTTTGAGAAGTCGCTGCTGTAGGGGGCTTAGAAGGAGTCACAGGCGAAGGGGGGGGCTGTAAGGCAGACTGGGTGACGCTGTGTGAGGTGTGCCTCGAGTGGGGTGCTGCCTCGAGGCATCCCTAGACCCGTCGGTGAACTGATAGCTGCTAGCCTAGTCCAGCGTGCGCTCGATAGGTGGTTAGCGCAAGTTTCTTGAACCCTGCCCTGCCCGCCCGCCCCAACGGAGAATCGGGTGAGAGGCCGAGCTATATATTAGGGCCTCGTGCCTTAGTAGGGAGGGAGGGGGTAGGGTTTGTACAGGGTTTCCGGGTTTCCTCTGTCTTCGTGAACCCTCACCCCAAGAGCCGGATCAGGCCGGGGATGGAGAGGAGTCTTGTTTCGTGTTTCAGGCTCAGTGCGCAAACTCGCCTTGACTCATGAGAGCGTGCGCTCGTGCGACGCCTCCCACATCCCCGGGGATGAGAGCGGAGCTAGCGGACCTGTGGCTCTCGGCTGCTTAGAGGGCGGCATAGGCCCCTCGCGCCCCTCTCCCGTCCGCGGGAGAGAGCTTGGGCGGCCTTTCCGTTGGGGCTGGGCAGCAGTCCCTAGCCAGTGTCAGGCTCGGTCAGATAACGGTCAGATAACCTTCACACACAACGCACTCACCAAAAAAACAGTGGTCATCTGCAGCTCATGACCTTGGCGCTCTCTCTTCCCCAACGTAATACGCTCCGGATGCTGTTTTTTTCTGCCTAATCTGTTTGCAAGATTGTGTCGGCCCCAGGTTTTTCTAGGTTTTTATAAGCAATTCCGATATCTTGAAGACTGACGCCATCCAACCAGCGGCCGCAGCCCCAAGAAACTATTTTCACTTCCCCACTTCCCACCAATCACGAATCGGCACTGCACGCGCAACACTTGATGAACGCAGAGGCCTGGCGGAGTGCACTTCCAATACTCTTGTGGCAAAACCTACTGCTGGCCAAACCTCCGGAAAAGCAGCAGCCAAAACGTTTGCGCACAAGCACCATGTATATGTGCATACGGGCCCTCTCATCCAGGCACTTCGCGTTCGCCGCCTCCAGAGAAACAACATTTAAATCAAAGGCCGCGCTCCTTCCGGATGCTCTCCAGCAGCCCCTCACACGCGTCCTCGAGCAGGTCCAGCACCTTTTCAAAACCCTGCCAGGGGCGGGCGGCCGCCGTTGGGAAGTTGGCGGCGGGAGGGAGGAGCGGCAGCGATAATAAGAGCAAGAACGGCAGGACCTGCAAGTGGAGGCTATCGGTTGCGACAGTGCGCCAGTTGGTTAACGGTTGGGCAGAGCGCAACCCCCCACCCCCCCGGGGCATTAGGAAATGCCCCCCCGAACAGCTCCCCTAGAAACCGAGCCGGGCCTGAACAAACCCTCTGACCAGGGGAAAGATGTTTCCGCCATAGTATTACTACGAGATAGGAGAGGGGGGAGATGCGGCTCTCCCGGCCTCCCGGCTTGTTATGTACCTTGCATACGTACTTGTCTCTCCCAGGAAGACATCCCCCTCCCCCCAGGTCAAATCTCCCCCCGGGCGTTTCACTATCTGCCCTGATCGTCCATTCCAACCCGTCGCCACCTCTATCTGCCAGCACACATCCAGAGAAACCGCGCCCGCCAGCCTGCTCTACCTGTTCCCCCCCATCCTCCCACACCAGCCCTCTCCCTCCCTCCCACCCACCGCAGGGCCCCCGTAGTAGGGGTCGGGAACTTCGGGCTCGCCTTTGAACTTGCTGCAGTAGCTGGTCATAAGGCTGATGCGCCGGCTGTAGTCCTGAGGCACCTTGCCCTGACCCATGGGCCGGACCAGCCAGTAGTCGGCGGCAGCCTGAGGGTCCACCAAACCCAGGGTTAGCGCCGTTGTCATCACACACACACACATATATATATATTATGTATATACTATAATACATTTATATTATTTAAGTTATATTTATATTCTACGTCAAATGGCGGCGGGGGAGCCGGCGGGTTTGATGAGGGCCAAACCGAAATCAAAGGTGGAAGGCGGAGCTGGCGTGAGGGGAGCGGAAACTGCAGTACGAAGGATTAGGGAGCGAAGTCAGTTGGTAATGGTGGAGGGCCGGCGCGTTGCAGGTACCTACCTATATTATGATGATGATGGCGCTGGTAAGAGTTGTAGAGGCTAAGTGTTTCCAACGCGCCCAACCCTCTACGTCCCCAGGTTCCAGGCCCTGACAGGTTCCGTTTGCGGTCTATGCTGTCTACCGGCATGGAGGGCGAAACCCGCGATGACGACAAACTGTACGAACTCCTCCCGCCTCCGCGGGACCGCGGGGGGAAGTCGCCCATATACCCATCTGCCCCCTTTACCCGTATACGGGTGTGGTTATAAAAAATGGTATAGTAAGGAAACGGTGTGGTTTTCTACCGTATGCAGCTCGGCCTTACGTGCACTAACGGCCGCAAGAGTACACCCTCCAACTCCCCCACGGGGGACATTGTGCTGTGTAGATAGCGCCCTCACTCCCGCCCGCATATACCCCCCAGCTTAGCTCCCCTCCCGCCTTCCTCCCCAAACCCTCCCTCAAGGGGGTATCTAAGCAATCTCATTAACCTTCAGAACCCCGCCAAAAGCCCGCAACAACCCCATAGTCACCCGAATGGCACGCAGGTTCTTGGCGTCCATTCCGATAATGTAGTCGAAACGGGTAAGGTCCACGGGCTGCAGCGGCCGGGACCGCGACGTGATCAGCACCCCACGCTTGCGGGCTGCGTGTTTTGTGTAGCAGGATAGGGTTGGTGGTGGGATAGGTGCGAGTGGGCCAAGGAGGTAGGAGTGCGGGTTGATGAGCAAGACGGGCAGGTTTGGGGTCCAGTGGAGGGTCGGTTTAGGTGTGTACGGCGCGTGTGGCTGTGTCGTACAGTGCAGTGACGCGTGGGCTACTGCCGGACCTGGGCCCCAGCACCAGACTACACCACACCACACCACACTAGGAAGGGCCCCCACCCACAACAATACCATTTGCTGTATTAAGAGCATCCTTTGTATTAAAATCAAGCGATATAGGATGTTTTTTTAGCACCAGCTCCGACAACGGAAAACCTTCGGCCGCATCGCACGTTTGGCCTTCCGATCACGGGCCCCACTTCCCCCCCAGTGGTGCCGGCGGTGATATCGCACGTTGTGTCCTTGCTCCACAGCTGGATTCATCTACCGGCTACACAGGTGGGCCCCCTCCCTGCACACCTAAAGGGCACCTAGGCCGTCCTCAGTGCACCTGTAACCGCCATGCGTGAATCCGCCGCGTCGCCTTCGTGATACGACCAACCCCCCTCCGTAAACCTGGGGGCCACACCGGGAAGGCGGGGGGGGGAGGGATTGAACAGAAGGCGCCAGTAGGGCAACAGAGAGATGACGTGCGGGCGAGATGTCTGCAGGGGAATAACCGCACTGCTGCATTTGCCTTAAGGTACCCGGCGTCCTAGTGTGAAGGGAGAGCAAAGGGCGCAGCGCCACCAAAAGAAACGAAAGGTTTTAAATCCTCATTACGTCCGATGATCGTGCGGTATCTTGTCAGGTATCTTGCGGTCAGGTATCTTGCAGGAAGAGCGCGTCGCGCTTGGCCTCGCCCTCCTTCCCTAGGCTCCCTTACACCCCTTAGTATATCGCCGGGGGGCTGCCGGCTGAGACAGCTCACCCACGTCACCTCCGCCCTTATACCCACTACCACTACCACTACCACTACCACTGCCACTGCCCCACCAGTCAGGGCTGCCACCGCCTGTACCGCAAGAGTCAATGTCGAAGGCGGCTGCTAGCCCCACCCTCTCTACTGCGGAGCGGAAGACCGCCTCCGCGGTCGGGCTTCTGCAGATGTTCCCTGAACGGACGAGGATTTGTTAGGAGAGAGGGGGCAGTTGCTTACGAGGCAAATGGGAGAGCAAATGCAAGGGCGGTTATGGGCGGGGGCGGGGGTGCGGTTGGGCGGGCCGTTGGGGAGGGCGTTAGCGGTTGTTGGCGGTTGATATACGGGACGAGATGTGAAATGCCGCCATGTGCCGTGTACACATGCATACCCACAGACGAACTTGGCATTGGCTAGTCCAGGACGGAGAGACAAGTCATCGCGACAGCCGCGAAAAAGGGAACCGAGGAGAATAGCGCCAGCAAGCCGGCATCTTAGGCCTACAGCCTAGAAGGTTCCGTCCTGACAACCTGCTTCATACTCCATCAGAAAAGTGGACCTGCGGCCTTTTTTTCTGGTCGAAGCAACTCATTTACAGTACAGCGCTGCCGTATGCGCTACTTGGTTACTCGTCCGAAAAAGACTTCCAGGATGATGAAGGGGACGAGGCTGCTGGGGTTGGGAAACCCCTCACCTCCTGCTGGGCGCATGGGCCGAGGTGAACAGGTTCCTACTCACCGAGGCAAACGAAAAGCACTCCGACCTTGCGGTCATCGCTGCCGCTTGCCTCCGCAGTCATCGCACCACGGTTGACCTCCGGGGTCCCCTGCCACGGAGGGTGGAAACTGCGTTATAAATCGCAGCTGAAACATACAGGTGGATATCGACAAGAATGTGAGGGTAAAGATGTTGGGATTGCATGCTGATAGCCTAAACGCACATTTAACTGGATGCGACGAAAGCGAGGCAAATGAGGACAAGCATCCAGCAGGTGGGCATGGCTGTTCCCAATGAGCTGTAGTTTATAATTGGCACAGATCCTTGATCCCGTATGCATGAATGATTTTCTACAGCTCTGCGCGCTTGGGCAGGGCCCCCGTGTAGTCCAGGCTTGCATCATCCGCCCAAGCTCTGATTCACCAGAAAAATGGAATAAACTTCCAAAAACTGACTGGTTTTCACGTGAGGTATTAATGGGAGAACGAACGAGTTGCGAACTACAATTTACTTGCACGTTATTGCGGTTTGCCGTTGTAAGTCGCTAATTTCCAACCTCCGTGAGATTCATCGCATCGCACAAAAAACATTAACGCAGGACGCACAGCATTTGTGGCACATGCCATGTATAAAAACATGCAGCAGTACAGTACTGCAATACTGCGTTGACATCACAAACAGCCGTATCAGGAAATGCGCGGCCGGACAATCTGGGTCAGAGAGGTAAATGCCGGCAGAACATCTCGCAAACATGTAGATAGATGCAAGACCGGCCACATCTAGGTCTGTACGGCTGTGCATATCTTTTGACCTGAACGGATGCCAAAAGACATGCAACTAAATGTCCTGTCGATTCACCCTCTGCTTAAACGGTAATCGAGGCCTGTAAGTAAGACCTCCTTAACTGGCATTACATGCCGTACCAACACACACAACCAGCTCTTCTGAGTTCACAGAAAGCCTCGGTTTTCTATCGTTACTATCAGAAAACCTTCAGTTATAGGCAGGGGAAATGCCAGCGGTTAAAGTGGCGGCACCCTCGTGCTCGTTATGATTTAACCCACCCACCATCGCTTGGACAAAAAGCAATGACAATAGCTGTTTGGAGTGGGTGGCAACGCCGCGTCATTAGTATTCATACTTACCTGGCCCGCTTCTCGAGGTGGTCCTCATGGCCTCGGTTGTATGGTTGGTCTTCGCCTTGCACTGTGCGAGGGCCTTTCGTAGTCGGCCCTTCGGGTGTCCGGCAGGGCTAAATTTTTGACAGGCTGAGGATCTGCGCAACGCGCGACCTCGGCGCCTAACCAAGCGATATGTAATGGAGGATATAGGCGATGATCATTGTTATGTAGAAGACGGTACCTATTATGCTGGATTGGGGTAGAGCTCTGTCGCAGAATTAGCCTGGATTTTATTCCTGACATAAAAATTGGTCCGTCGGGGTCTTGAATCGCTCTGGCAGGCTCGCCGGAGGTTCTAGAATTGCGCTGTGGAGCCTCGGAATTGCGCTGTGCTGGGCCTGAATTGGGCTGTCCGGGTGTCGAATTGGCCCGTCCGGGTGTCGAATCAGTCTGTCCGGGTGTCGAATCAGCCTGTCCGGGTGTCGAATTGGCTGTCGAGTTGGCAG